GGGACTGACACAGCTACAAGACTCCACCTTGTCTCTCTAACTCACTGGAGGCAGATTATTAGCCACCTCTGACTGAGTGCTAGGATCCTAATCACCAGACAAGGATGGCTAGCAATATGCTTGCAGTGATTTGCAAAGAACAGGCTATGGCATACCTACAGTCATTGAAACAAACCAATATAGTTCAGAGGATTTAAAAACATATCTAGGGTGAAGATGGGGATAGTAACATTGGGGAGGAGGGAAGAAATACTTTATTCAGTATTCACAGCAAGAGAAAAGAAGTCAGCAGAGGTGACCTTTCAACAGTATGGCCTACATTCTCAAAAATGTCTGTCTTTTCACTTTGGGTGCCTAATTTAAGATACATTGAGACATATGTGATAGGTATCACAGTTCCCATTAAAGTCAACTGGTTCTGTAGGGGCTTGATACCCCAGCAGAACAGGCCATAGGCATCTCAAGTTGGGCCCCCAAATATTGAAGCACCCAAATATAGTGGATTCACTTGAAAATGGCTGCCAAGACATCCTCCTAAGAAGAAAACAAACATATCGAGGGAATGAGCTGCAAACCCTCAAAACAGGAAATTGATCAACATAATAACTACAACCAGTTAATCTGATCATAATCACTCCAACAACAATTACTGTTAACAGGACAATGGCATGCTTAAAAGAAGAGTGAAATTAACCCTTAGGACAGGTATATTCATCCTCACCATTCAGCACTGAGATAGCAAGGATGAACATATTTGCAAAATGAAGAGTTGCTCAACATCAATAAGGATTGCAGAAGATTGTAAGACAGTCTTGTTTTATCAATTTAACCCTTAAAACGTTTTATTCTTTGGCAATGGTATACAGTGGAAATACCGGTAGTCTCTGGTCTACTTATATAAAAAAGCAAAATTTTTCTCAATTACTCGTACATGGAATTCACCTTGGCTTATTTATTTCTAGACAAATACTATGTTAAAAAAAATTAAAAGTCAGAGCATATATGTGTCAATAATTTAAAGTAAAATACATTATTAGGATATAATTATTAAAACTACTGTTATAAATCCAGGAAATCCAGAGTTAAGGTTAAACTTAAAATAAATCCACACAAGCTACGGTATAGAAATGCTCAGTTAGGGCAACTAAACTGCCTTAATTTTGTCCTATAGTGATGGCATGTAATAACCATTTTGATTGTTAATGCAAATAAACAATCATATGCATTGTTATTTATTGTTAGAGAATATTATTTTTCAGACTGAAGAAGAAACTTAGTTATAAAGAATAACATCAAAAACTATCATTATTCCTATGCATGAGATAAAGGTGAATTTGAACTATATGAAAAGTTTGAAGAGTATGTGTGACCTCACTACTGAGATCACTTGAGACTATAAAAAGGTTTGATACCTAATGCTAAATTTTTTAAAATATTGATTTCTGGCTGAGTGAAGTGAGGTCTTACACTAGTTGGCATTTCTCTGGCTGTCATATGGTGACTTAACACTGCACGAAATTATCGCGAAGTGTACCATGGCCTCACCCACTCTCTCTGCACTTTGTAAGGGAAGGTGCAGTGTATATACAATTCCTTCTAGTGGTCTCACTGTGGCAGTGAAACTCTGCACTGCACACAGCATAGACCAATTAATTTTTGTAAATATTTCCAGAAAAATACACAATCATTACATTTGTTTAAATCTGTTACTTCAATTGAACAAAGGACTACCTAGCGTGATACTGTTTTTATACAGTAGATCCATAAAACTGAAAATAAGGAGCAATGAAACAGCAGATACTAACGGAAACAAAAGAGTAATTAGCAAATGAATGCTATTGCCTAGTCAAGTCAGAGACCATTTAGCTCCAGTGATCTGTTCTGCCACCAGAACAACATCAACCTGTTTTAAAAAAAAGATTGGCTAATTCAAAATCATAAGAAATGTAAATGAAAACGAATGAAAACACCAAGAGCCCTGATCTGGAAACTACAGAAACTTGCAACTACTGAAAACAGAGGGGGGGCCTTTTGCTTCAAGTATTTTAACCACACCATTGAAAAACATATATACTATGCATCAGATTTGATTGACAATACCAAGAGCCTCATTCTGCATTGCTCTGTGTAGTGATTTAAACCTGTGCAAAGTGAGTTCAAAATTCCTTTGAACTCATTTTGCACAAGTGAAAATGACTACACAAGGCAGATGGCAGTGGACAATCACGTCCAACATCTATTGTATAGATAAATGGAAGGATTTGCTTGTATGGTATAAGCTAAAGAAGACAGACTTTTCTTTTTAACATAAAATTTGTTGCATTCATTTATTAGGCAAATGGATTATAGGCCTCGTCTACATTAGAGAAATTTGCACCAGTGTTAACTACACCTATGTAGACACATTACACAATGTGAAGTGGAGCTTCCATTGCTGCAGTTTACTCATATAACCAGATTACAGCCAAACTATACAGATGTAGTTAATACTGGTGCAAATTTCTCTAATGTAGACAAGACCTATGATCTGAATAAGTAAGTGCATGCAACATTTTTGTTATAAGAAGTATCTGTGTCTTCTTGAACTTATCTCATGGAAGTAAAATCCTTTCACCAAATCTTAGACTACTGACAGAAGAGGGGAAAAAGAAAAAAAAAGTGAGAACCTCATTGACTGTCAGGATCTTGTATATTTTAATATGTGCAGAATAAAAATGTGATTCTCTTTATTAAAGTTGCATAGACCTAGATTTATATTAATGTAACTTAGCACAGAATTTGCCCCCAAGAGTAGGTAGGCAATTTATTTGTATAACTCCAGTTACTGGTAAGTAACCCAGTTTTCCCACTTCAGTGTTTTCCTGTGGGAATCACCAGTGTGCGTCATCTCTCGAAAAATAAAATCATTTGGGAGTTTAATATTTCCATATAACATTGTACAAAACTAAAGACACAAGAAAAGAGATGAGGAAATTCTGTGTGTAAATACAGATTGGGAGCATGGCAGTTTTGTTAGAGTTGCATTCAGACTTCCATTTTAAGTCCTACTTTCTACCCAGCTGTAATAATTTTAATTGGAAGTAGTGATTTGACTGAAAACATGCTATTAAAATATGCTAGGAGAACTTGAAAATTACCAATAACCAAAAAATAAATCCTTTGAGGTGGTACTTAATCCAAATTTAACTATATTAAAATTTTACACCAGTGTCATGTTTCTTTGGTCCACCTTTTTCTCAGCACAGGAAATGTTTAAGAACTCCAAATTTCATACTTGTAGACAGGGCTCTATACACTTGAGCATAAGGTAGTTTTCACAGAAAAGTCATTTAAAAAATTATTAATGAATCTTCATCATTATGGACAGAACTCCTCCAGCCACTTTGAAATTAAAGCTTTAATTGTTGGGTGATTAAAACTTTAATCACCTGATGATTAAAGTTACCATTACAAAGCAATGAGTACTTAAAGTTTTAAGTGCTAACCACTTAACTGCTAAATGCATTTCAAGAGAAGATGTACCATTAAACACATCTGTAAAAACACCCACAAACTTTAAAAGCTATGGAAATACAAAGCTAAGAGTTATATAAACCAGGGGTTCTCAACCTTTTTTGGACCAAGACCCATTTGTAAACTTTGATAGTCAGGTCCGACCAGTGAATAACTTAAGTAGAAAATATGGCAATGTTTTGGCCCCAACATCCTTATTACCCATTACGCAGCAGCAGCATCCCCTCCTACCTGCTGTTTTGTATACGCAGCCTTAGCCCTGTCATGAACCTTGCAATCGCTGTAACCTCTCCTTCATTTACTTCCTCTCCCATCACTTGGTGCTCTGTGCAGCCTCCCAAGGAGCATGATAGCAGCCCACAGCAGAGCGCAGACCCGGCGCCTCCACCTCTTCAACCAGCTCTCTGTGGGACGTTGCACTTGGCTGCCCAAGCTGTCCAACTTTGCCAACTTTTCAGGAAAGGCCGAATGTGATGTGCCAAGCCCCCAGCTTCGAAGCAAGCCTTGCTCAGCCCCCAAAAGAGCCCCATGATTCTGCTAGCATGTGCACAGGAAGCTCCGGCCCCATCACGAGCACCCAGTGTGCCAGGTGAAGTTTGCATGGGCACACGTAGGGCACCACGGGGCCCAACCACTTACAGAGGGCCAGGTGCACTGGCTGCAAAGGCGCCCTGCAAGGACTCTCCCCTTTACACAGCTCCTCTGTGACTCCAGCCCCTAGGGACTCTGCTTTGAAAGGCAGGAATAATCCCCCTTCCTACCCTGAAGTGCTTACCAGCTGCTCCAGGTCAGGAAGGGGCTGCTTAGGGGCAGCCTCCCTCTCAGGGCTCCTGCAGCCCAAGGCCGGGTGATGAACCCAGGGTGCTGAAAGTTGCCCAGCAGCACCTGGGGACAGTGCTGGGGCGGGGCAGGATGATCAGCAAGACTGATTTAGTTAA